CCCTGGGGCCTCATTATTAGGGTAGCCATGACCCCTATTGTCTGGCCTGTCTGGCCCTGCCATGAAAGGTAGGGGTTTGGCAGGGAATGCAGGCTCGGCCTGATTCCAGCTTGTTCTCTGCAGTCTGGAGCCTGTCCTGTGCTGGGGCAGGGCAGGCAGGGTGGGCAGGGTCGGGGGGGCTGGAGGAGTCAGTAGGACAACAGCAGGGAGCCCTGGAGGGGGAGGGCGGGGAGGAGAGCAGGTGGTTCTTTGTCTGGAGCCTGACCCAGCCCCCTACTCCCACCCCCATCCCAGCCCTCCCAAGCCTGTGAGGCAGCCCCTGGGAGGGGATTGGTCCCTTCTGGTCCAAGTGCAAAGCCAGTGGGCCCCCTCCCCCAGCCGATGGGGGGAGAGACTCCATGCTGTGGCAGACCCCTGCCCCCTGCAGTGTCTGCTGTTGGGTTTCCCAGGACTCAACCTGCACCCCCACTCCACCCCCATTTGCTCACCCAGCACAGGAGGGCCATGTGGGAGCTGAGTCCTTGCTGCAGTGGAGTAGGGATCAGTACAGGTGGCTGGCGGGAACAGGCAGGGTCCCAAGGCAGGAAGGAAGGAGACCACCCCTCCTGGCTGCCATCCCTACTTTCTCTCTCTAGACTTCACAACCCTTATCAAGCAATAAGGTCAGATCTGGTGCTGTTTGAAGCTCTTCCCTGCTGTAAATATCTGTTTAGGATAGAACCATGAAACTCCTGGAACCCCTGCCTCTCTTGAGTCAGCACTGAACTTCTTTTGTCCATAAATTTTGCTTCTGAGCAGAAGAGCAGCACTTGGACGCTAAAGGTCAGTGGCAACCAGCCCTGGTTAAAGGGAGCGCTAAGCTGCCTGGAAGTGGGGATATCTTGGCTCTGCCATTAGCCGGGCAAGTCACTGAACCTCTCTGTGCTAACTTACCTGTGCCTCTATTTCCTCATCTGGTATATGGGGATATTCATAGGATCTACTATCAGGTTGTTGTAGGGGTCAAAGGAGTTATATACATCAAGTACTTAGAACAGTATTTGGACCCGTGGAAACACTCAGCAAATATTAGGTATTTTTATTCTTTTTAAACTTTTTTATTAAATCATAACTGTGTACATTGATGCATTTATGGGGTTCAGTATACTGATTTGATATACAATGTGAAATGCTTATGTTGAACTGATTAATACATCCACCACCTCCCTTACTTGTTTGTTGTGGTAAAGACAATTATACTCTTTTCTTAATAGTTTTGAAATGTACCATTGCATTATGCACATTAGGTGAGGTTCCACCCAAAACCCTCCTTCCTCCTGCCTTCCCTCTTCCTTCCTTTTCTCTCCTCTTCTCTTCTACTTTCTGGAATATAGTTATTAGATTTTTTTTTTTTTTTTGAGACAAAGTCTCAAGCTGTCACCCTGGGTCGAGTGCTGTAGGGTCACAGCTTACAGCAACCTCAAACTCTTGGGCTTAAGCGATTCTCTTGCCTCAGCCTCCTAAGTAGCTGGGACTATAGGCACTCGCTACAACGCCTGGCTATTATTATTATTATTATTGTTTTGGTTGTAGTTGTCATTGTTGCCTGGCAGGCCTGGTCCGGGTTTGAACCTGCCACCCTAGGTGTATGTGGCTGGCACCCTGCCAACTGAACTACCCTCCTGCCTTATTAGATATTTTTATTCTTAGAGATCTTGACGGATCAGTGGGTAGGTGAGTTTCCTGGAATACTTGATGGTGTGTGAACCAGTTAGGTGTCATCCCTGAAAGCTGGTATTTTGCCTTGAGGGTGAGGGGGGTTATGCAGATTTTTTTAAATTTTATTTATCAATTACTCAGTCCCTCTGGGGTAGAGTGTAATGGTGTCACAGCTCACAGCAGCCTCAAACTCTTTTTTTTTTTTTTTTGGTTGCAGCCGTC